GCTTTGTGTTCACGAATGCGGTCTGAGACATGGCGTTTGGTTTCTCCAATGTAACTACTACCACAGAGGCAACTTAGTTTGTAGACACCAGGGTATTGTATGTCCGGAATCACATCTTTTACAGACGGAACCAGAACACGGATTTTATGTAATGTGTTGAAACGGACCTGGATCTTGTGTTTATTCAAGATTTTGGAGATCTTTTTTGTGATCCCCGCAATGTAGGGTAAAGTGATGGTTTTGAAAGGCTCCTCAAGAGGGTCCTTCTTCATGGTTTGAGTGATAGCTTTGCGGATTGTATAGTCGGAGTAACCATTAGCCTTAAGAGCTTGGTGTACGTGCTTGAGTTCACTGCCTATGTGTTCCTGGTCGGATATGCATTGGGCTCTATGATACAGAGTCTTGATGAGAGAATTCTTCTGTGATGGATGGTGGTGGGAATCCGGTTTCAGATAAGCATCCGTATGGGTAGCATTCCTGTAGACAGAGTGGCTCATTGAACCATCAGGTCTCTTTTTAATCAGGACATCCAAAAAAGGTAGCTTGCCATCTATTTCTACTTCCATGGTAAATCTGATGGCTGGGTGTATGGAATTGATGTGGACGAAGAATTGGTGTAGAGCAGGCCGGCCATGTGGCCAGATGACAAAAGTGTCATCCACGTACCTCTTCCATAAGGTTGGGCGCAGAGTGGCAGTCTGGATGGCGTAAGTCTCAAATTTCTCCATGAAAATGTTAGCTATAACCGGAGGGGGGAGCCCATTGGGGTGCCCTCAGTTTGTTTGTAGAAAGTTCCATTCCAAGTGAAGTATGTATTGGTTAAACAGTGTCTCACCAGGGGGGGTACCTCAGTGTTTAGTCCTTGATGAACCAAGTCTTCAATGATTGCAATGGTGTCAGCTACAGGAACCTTGGTGAATAAGGAAACTACATCAAAACTGACAAGCAGGTCGTCTGGGGACAGGGAAATACCCTTGATTGTCGATGCCAGGTGAGTAGAATTTTGTACCGCAGAGGTGGTTTTTCCAGTGAAAGGACGCAGGGTTTCAGACAAAAAACGAGCCAGTTTGTAGGTGGGGGAGTTGATAGTAGAGACGATGGGACGAAGGGGTGTATCTACTTTATGTATTTTTGGTAAGCCGTATAATCTTGGTGGCCTGGCAGCAGAAGGTTTCAACGAAAACTGTTTAGATTGATCAATTAATGCGGTTGAATATAATGGTCCAACACATTGACGGCCTTCAGGCCAGGAAAGTCACAACATTTACGGCACACGAAGGACGCATTCACGCAAGTACCCCATGCTCCGTTTTGAAGTTTTAAAATGAAACATCTTTGAATTGTGTTGTGTTTTGAATTAGATTATTTTATTTCTTCATTAAAAGCTTGTATCAATTTACATCTGGAAGACTTCATTGAAAAGGACATTTCGTGTGAATTTTCTCTCCTCATTAAGTAGATGGCCTTGCCGGGGGTTCGGACACAAACAGTGTACACACAGTGTACACACACACAGTGTACACACACAATGTACACACAGTGTACACACAGTGTACACATGCACACAGTGTACACACACACAGTGTATACACACATAGCGTACACACACACAGTGTATACACAGTGTACACACACACAGTGTACACGCACACTGTACACGCACACAGTTTACACACATACAGTGTATACACAGTGTACACACACAGGGTACACACACAGTGTATATACACACACAGTGACACACACAGTGACACATAGTGTACACACAGAGTGTACACACACACACAGTGACACAACAACAACCGCCATTCGCCACTAAGTGGCGGTGACGTCACCACGACGCTTGTGCCAGGCACAGTGACACACAGTGTACACACACACAGTGTACACACACACAGTGTACACACAGTGTGTGTACACACACACTGTGTGTACACACACTGTACACACACACAGTGCACACTGTGTACGTGTACACACAGCGTACACACACACAGTGTACGCACACACAGTGTACACACACAGTTTACATACACACACAGTGTGTACACAATAGTTTCAGTTGATATATATTTGGTATACCCCTGTGAGCCATTCGGCTCTTGAATCAAGTGCAACAAACACAAACAAGAACAAGAAACACATCTTAAAGTTACTACTTTGTGTGACTCTGCAAACAGAAAATCCATGAAAAAAACAGCAAAATGTTCCTGAAAAAAGCACCGTACACCAACGCTGTGTGCTAAAAATTCCAGTGGGATGCAATGTCCACGTTGTTGTTGCTGAGTTCAAGGGAGGGAGCAATGGAAAATGAATCTAAATCAACTTAAACTCCAATCCCGCTCTGTGACGTCACTACTCAGCATCACCTCATCGGCGTGAAACGCCAGGGGGAGGTGTACCTCGCCAGTGACGTCATGTCACCAAGGTATTCACCCCACCCCGTCTACCGCACCCTTGAGCGTGACGTCACCTCTGCCTGGGTCAACTTGCGTTATCTGTTCAAGTACAATCCTTATTTGGGCAAAGCTACGCCCGGTGACTGGTGGCTCATTAACATAATATATTCGTGAAGGCCGTTGCGAGTTTATTGCGACGGGTTTCAGCACCCACGCCACCATCCCTCCACGTATGGGCCGGGCTCATTAACATAATTTATTTAAATTAAGACCCGCTCGTCGCGGGAGGGGAGTGTCTCGTACCACGCAAGTGACGTCATCTCCTGCTGCCGCGTGACGTCATGAGGTAACAAATCTGCCGCTCCGCGCGTGAACTGAAATCCGAGGTGAGAAATTCTCATCGCGGTTGTGGTGGTGGTGGTTGTTGTTGTTGTTTACCCAGGTAGAGCCTCGCTCTCTCTCGTAGGGATGTCAGTTGAGTAGCAGCGAGCATGGGAATCGATGTCCAGGTTGGAACTTTACAACGCGGGGCCTAGCCACGCGGGGCCTTGCCTCCTGCCCTCGCCTGATCGCGTTTACTTTAATTATCTCGCTTAGTTGAACAATCTTTGTAAGAAAGTAATCTACCAGGCTATGCGTTTATTGTGTGTTGACCGACTCTCTGTGTTGCATTGCATTACATTTCCGAGTTTTACTCAGTTTGTTTGATTAAGTGTGCTTTTGATTTAAAGCTTTCTTGACTGCAGGGATTCATATTCTTGGTTCTTTCGGTAAAGTCACCACCACGTAGAAGGGAAACAATAAAATAATAAAAATATAAAACAATAAAATTCTCACGACGTTTCGACTGCAACACAAGCAATCATCGTCAGGTGTGAAAACCATCAGCAAGAACATTTTCTTGTCACCAAGGTATTCACATTTTCTTGCTGTGGTTTTCGCGCTGTGGTTTTCACACCTGATGATGATTGCTTCTTGTGTTGCAGTCGAAACGTCGTGAGAATTTTATTGTTTTATATTTTTATTATTTTATTGTTTCCCTTCTACGTGGTGACTTTACCGACAGAACCAAGAATATAAGTGTGCTTTCTCTCTCTCTCTCTGCGTGTGCTCGTGTTATTATTATTTCCTGCAGTCACCAAAGTTCCAAATCTCTCTTTGACACAAGGCCGTAATTATAATGTTATAATAATTATAATATGTAATAATAATTATAATATATATTAGGGGGGGACATATCCCCCCCCCAATAATCAAACATGCTCAAAATGTCCCCCCCAATATATTGCTATAAAAATATATATTTTTAAATAATAATTGCTATGCTATGTTAATAAAAACAACAATTTCGCTAAACCTTGGCCACAAAATGTGGACTTGTCTTCATATAACAATACGTAGATTTGTGTTTGTATGATTGCCTTGTACTTTATGAACCCCTAATCTCTGCCATTACATACTATGAAACAAGAAAAGTAAAAAAAATAAACAACAGAACAATGTAAATACAATACAATATTATACATTATTGTATCAAATAATACAAAAATTCCATCCCATGTGTTAGTGAAATTTTTCAATATTTTAGTAAATGTCAGGAAATTAGTTTTCAAATTGAGATATTTTTTTTTTCCTGGGGGAGGACCCCAGAGCCCCTGGTAGATTTGGTCCCCCCCAATGTTGACTCCATGGCTACGGCCTTGCGTTGACTCGCGGATTTCTCTACACCCCCTCCCCTCTCTCTCTGCCCCCCTCTCTCTCTCTGTTTAAGGCCTCAACACAGAGGCGTTGTTTCTCTGTGTGCCTACAGTGACGGAAAAAAGTACTTGATCCCCTGCTGATTTTGTACGTTTGCCCACTGACAAGGAAATGATCAGTCTATAATTTTAATGGTAGGTTTATTTGAACAGTGAGAGACAGAATAACAACAAGAAAATCCAGAGAAACGCATGTCAAAAATGTTATAAATTGATTCGCATTTTAATGAGGGAAATAAGTATTTGACCCCCTCTCAATCAGAAAGATTTCTGGCTCCCAGGTGTAATGAGCTGAGATTAGGAGCACACTCTTAAAGGGAGTGCTCCTAATCTCAGCTTGTTACCTGTTCCTAATAGAGGATGGGGTGGTTGTGTAATTAAGGGGGGGTTGAGGGGGGTCGTCAATGTAAACATGAAGATTGATGAGGGGACTGACCATCGTTGAATAAGTGACTGGATGGAGTGCTGCATCAACCATAAACCTACTCTACATTGAATTATAACAAGCACAGCGAGGTAGGAACTGGGTGCCGCAGTGTTGAGATGTTAACTACCTCGCCTGGTATACAGGTCGTGGGTTCGATCCCAGTCCTGACACCTGGATATTTGGAGTTTGCATGTTCTCCCCGTGGTCACATGGATTTTTCTCCAGTACCTCCGGTTGTTCTCTCCACATTTAGAAACATGCATCGAGAGTATATAGCTCCTAGAAATTTCCACATGATAAGCCACTTCATTGGGCTATCATTTGTGGCCAGATCGCTTCTAAGAGCTGTATAGCTCAGTGGGCCTTGCCTGGTAAGCTAAAAATAATTTAGTTTCAGTTTGGGGGTGGCTCCCCACCCCAGACAGGTTCACATCACAAGTCCTGCCGAGTGCTCACCTTCTCCACCTTCTTCTCCAGGATCTCCTTGACCACCTTGCAGAGATTCTCAAACTTGGCCTTGGCCTCCTCCTGTCTCTTTTTCTCTTCCTCATCTTCCGGAAGCTCCATGCCCTCCTTGGTGACGGAGACGAGGGTCTTCCCGTCAAACTCCTTCAGCTGCTGCACGCAGTACTCATCGATGGGCTCCACCATGTACACCACCTCCAGGCCACGCTTGCGCACGCGCTCCACAAACGCAGAGTTGGCCACTTGCGCTTTTGACTCGCCTGCGAGCTAAATCGCGGTTCACAAATTAGCCTTCCGGCACCACGGCCTCGTCTAACGGTTTGGCAAATTCCCGCTCAAATGAGCATCGCGACGATGCTCATCTCCCGTTTACAGTCCCATTCCAAATTCCTTTGGCGAAGACTAATCTAAAGGAGAACCACTGTTAACAACCACAAAGTGGAATGCTATTTATAGACCGAGGGACGATTAACAGTCTGCAAAGCTTCACAATTAGATTACTTGTACAGTCTACACTTAAATTCAATACTTGGGCAACGTTCTTAGCCAGGAAGTGCTAGCAGGCTGTGTGAAGAGCAGCGTGTGTCGTGCAGCAGTGCGTGTGTGGTGCCATGGAGTGTGGTGTCGTGGCGCGTGTGGTGCTGTTGGCACGTGCGTGTCTGCCCGCACCGGTGATGTAGTAGATGTGCTTCTGGTTTTCTTTCATTCGAGACACGTAGTCCTTCAGCGAGCACATGTCCTCGCCCGACATGGACGTATGGTAGCGGAGCAGCTCCGCCAGCTTCTTCCGGTTCTGAGAGTCCTCGTGGATTCCCAGCTGTGGGGAATAACGATAAAAGGCAGAGCGACAGGGTCAGATTTCCCCCTGACGAACTGAACGACGGGAAAAGCACGAATCGCAAAATATTCAAATCCACACCGCTGCAGAAATTCGGCAAATGGTGAGAGCATCCACCTTGATGTTTTTGGAGAACTGCTCATAGAACTTCTTGTAGTTATCTTTGTCCTCGGCGAGCTCCGCGAACAGCTCCATGGACTTCTTGATGATGTTCTTGCGGATCACCTTGAGGATTTTGCCCTGCTGCAGCATCTCACGCGAGATGTTGAGGGGAAGGTCCTCGGAGTCCACCACTCCCTTCATGAAGTCTGCAAACGGTGAACATTCACGGCTTTAGTATTTATCACTGTAAAAACTCTAGAGAAACCATTGAATAGAAGTGCTTTAAGGGAGGAAAAAAATGACATTGTTTACGAGTTGCTCTCAAGCCTGCATGCATCCCCGCTTACTGGATTTAACACACGCTATGGGTTGGGTATTGTCTGTGGATTTAACACACGCTATGGGTTGGGTATGGTCTGTGGATTTTTACACACGCTATGGGTTGGGTATGGTCTGTGGATTTAACACACGCTGTGGGTTGGGTATGGTCTGTGGATTTAACACACGCTATGGGTTGGGTATGGTCTGTGGATTTCACACACGCTATGGGTTGGGCATGGTCGGCGGATTGAACACAGGTCGGTGGATTTAACACACGCTATGGATTGGACATGGTCTGTGGATTTAACACACGCTATGGTTTGGGTATGGTCTGTGGATTTAACACACGCTGTGGGTTGGGCATGGTCTGTAGATTTAACAAACGCTATGGGTTGGGCATGGTCTGTGGATTTAACAAACGCTATGGTTTGGGTATGGTCTGTGGATTTAACACATGCTATGGGTTGGGCATGGTCTGTGGATTGAACACAGGTCTGTAGATTTAACACGCTATGGATTGGACATGGTCTATAAATTTAACACACGCTATGGTTTGGGTATGGTCTGTGGATTTAACACAGGTCTGTAGATTTAACACACGCTATGGATTGGACATGGTCTGTGGATTTAACACACGCTATGGGTTGGGCATTGTCTGTGGATTGAACACAGGTCTGTAGATTTAACACACGCTATGGATTGGACATGGTCTGTGGATTTAACACACGCTATGGGTTGATCATGGTCGGTGGATTGAACACAGGTCTGTGGATTTAACACACGCAATGGATTGGACATGGACTGTGGATTTAACACACGCTATGGGTTGGGCATGGTCTGTGGATTTAACACACGCTAAGGGTTGTGCATGGTCTGTGGATTGAACACACTGCATGGGTTAACCATGGTCTGTGGATTGAACACACTGCATGGGTTAACCATGGTCTGTGGATTTTTACACACGCTATGGGTTGGGTATGGTCTGTGGATTTAACACACGCTGTGGGTTGGGTATGGTCTGTGGATTTAACACACGCTATGGGTTGGGTATGGTCTGTGGATTTAACACACGCTATGGGTTGGGCATGGTCGGCGGATTGAACACAGGTCGGTGGATTTAACACACGCTATGGATTGGACATGGTCTGTGGATTTAACACACGCTATGGTTTGGGTATGGTCTGTGGATTTAACTCACGCTGTGGGTTGGGCATGGTCTGTGGATTTAACAAACGCTATGGATTGGGCATGGTCTGTGGATTTAACAAACGCTATGGTTTGGGTATGGTCTGTTGATTTAACACACGCTATGGGTTGGGCATGGTCTGTGGATTTAACAAACGCTATGGTTTGGGTATGGTCTGTGGATTTAACACATGCTATGGGTTGGGCATGGTCTGTGGATTGAACACAGGTCTGTAGATTTAACACGCTATGGATTGGACATGGTCTGTGGATTTAACACACGCTATGGGTTGATCATGGTCGGTGGATTGAACACAGGTCTGTGGATTTAACACACGCAATGGATTGGACATGGACTGTGGATTTAACACACGCTATGGGTTGGGCATGGTCTGTGGATTTAACACACGCTAAGGGTTGTGCATGGTCTGTGGATTGAACACACTGCATGGGTTAACCATGGTCTGTGGATTGAACACACTGCATGGGTTAACCATGGTCTGTGGATTTTTACACACGCTATGGGTTGGGTATGGTCTGTGGATTTAACACACGCTGTGGGTTGGGTATGGTCTGTGGATTTAACACACGCTATGGGTTGGGTATGGTCTGTGGATTTAACACACGCTATGGGTTGGGCATGGTCGGCGGATTGAACACAGGTCGGTGGATTTAACACACGCTATGGATTGGACATGGTCTGTGGATTTAACACACGCTATGGTTTGGGTATGGTCTGTGGATTTAACTCACGCTGTGGGTTGGGCATGGTCTGTGGATTTAACAAACGCTATGGATTGGGCATGGTCTGTGGATTTAACAAACGCTATGGTTTGGGTATGGTCTGTTGATTTAACACACGCTATGGGTTGGGCATGGTCTGTGGATTTAACAAACGCTATGGTTTGGGTATGGTCTGTGGATTTAACACATGCTATGGGTTGGGCATGGTCTGTGGATTGAACACAGGTCTGTAGATTTAACACGCTATGGATTGGACATGGTCTATAAATTTAACACACGCTATGGTTTGGGTATGGTCTGTGGATTTAACACAGGTCTGTAGATTTAACACACGCTATGGATTGGACATGGTCTGTGGATTTAACACACGCTATGGGTTGGGCATGGTCTGTGGATTGAACACAGGTCTGTAGATTTAACACACGCTATGGATTGGACATGGTCTATGGATTTAACACACGATATGGGTTGATCATGGTCGGTGGATTGAACACAGGTCTGTGGATTTAACACACGCAATGGATTGGACATGGTCTGTGGATTTAACACACGCTATGGGTTGGGCATGGTCTGTGGATTGAACACAGGTCTGTAGATTTAACACACGCTATGGATTGGACATGGTCTATGGATTTAACACACGATATGGGTTGATCATGGTCGGTGGATTGAACACAGGTCTGTGGATTTAACACACGCAATGGATTGGACATGGTCTGTGGATTTAACACACGCTATGGGTTGGGCATGGTCTGTGGATTTAACACACGCTAAGGGTTGTGCATGGTCTGTGGATTGAACACACTGCATGGGTTAACCATGGTCTGTGGTTTGAACACAGGCTGTAGGGTGGGTATGGTCTGTAGATGTAATATGTTTGGGTTTAGCAGCGACTGTAAAAACACGATTTAAAACTATGTTTTATTCTACCAGGTAAGGCCTGCTGAGTTATATAGCTCTTTTTCAAAAGCTATCTGGACATAACTGATAGCTCAACGAAGCGGTGTATGTGGAAATTTATAGCACCCAAATACTAAAATTTAACACACACCAGGGATTGAGTATGGTCTGTGGATTTAACACATGCTATGGGTTGGGCATGGTCTGTGGATTGAACACAGGTCTGTAGATTTAACACGCTATGGATTGGACATGGTCTATAAATTTAACACACGCTATGGTTTGGGTGTGGTCTGTGGATTTAACACAGGTCTGTAGATTTAACACACGCTATGGATTGGACATGGTCTGTGGATTTAACACACGCTATGGGTTGGGCATGGTCTGTGGATTGAACACAGGTCTGTAGATTTAACACACGCTATGGATTGGACATGGTCTGTGGATTTAACACACGCTATGGGTTGATCATGGTCAGTGGATTGAACACAGGTCTGTGGATTTAACACAAGCAATGGATTGGACATGGTCTGTAGATTTAACACACGCTTTGGGTTGGGCATGGTCTGTGGATTTAACACACGCTAAGGGTTGTGCATGGTCTGTGGATTGAACACACTGCATGGGTTAACCATGGTCTGTGGATTGAACACACTTTATGGGTTGAGCATGGTCTGTGGTTTGAACACAGGCTGTAGGGTGGGTATGGTCTGTAGATGTAATATGCTATGGGTTTAGCAGCGACTGTAAAAACACGATTTAAAACTATGTTTTATTCTACCAGGTAAGGCCTGCTGAGTTATATAGCTCTTTTTCAAAAGCCATCTGGACATAACTGATAGCTCAACGAAGCGGTGTATGTGGAAATTTATAGCACCCAAATACTAAAATTTAACACACACCAGGGATTGAGTATGGTCTGTAGATTTAACACACGCTATGGGTTGGGCATGGTCGGTGGATTTAACACACGCTATGGGTTGGGCATGGTCTGTGAATTTAACACACGTTATGGGTTGGGCATGGTCTGTGGATTTAACACACGCTATGGGTTGGGTATGGTCTGTGGATTTTTACACACGCTATGGGTTGGGTATGGCCTGTGGATTTAACACACGCTGTGGGTTGGTTATGGTCTGTGGATTTAACACACGCTATGGGTTGGGTATGGTCTGTGGATTTAACACACGCTATGGGTTGGGCATGGTCTGTGGATTTAACACACGCTATGGTTTGGGTATGGTCTGTGGATTTAACACACGCTGTGGGTTGGGCATGGTCTGTGGATTTAACAAACGCTATGGGTTGGGCATGGTCTGTGGATTTAACAAACGCTATGGTTTGGGTATGGTCTGTTGGTTTAACACACGCTATGGGTTGGGCATGGTCTGTGGATTTAACAAACGCTATGGTTTGGGAATGGTCTGTGGATTTAACACACGCTATGGGTTGGGCATGGTCTGTGGATTTAACAAACGCTATGGTTTGGGTATGGTCTGTGGATTTAACACATGCTATGGGTTGGGCCTGGTCTGTGGATTGAACACAGGTCTGTAGATTTAACACGTTATGGATTGGACATGGTCTATAAATTTAACACACGCTATGGTTTGGGTATGGTCTGTGGATTTAACACACGCTATGGGTGGGGTATGGTCTGTGGATTTTTACACACGCTATGGGTTGGGTATGGCCTGTGGATTTAACACACGCTGTGGGTTGGTTATGGTCTGTGGATTTAACACACGCTATGGGTTGGGTATGGTCTGTGGATTTAACACACGCTATGGGTTGGGCATGGTCTGTGGATTTAACACACGCTATGGTTTGGGTATGGTCTGTGGATTTAACACACGCTGTGGGTTGGGCATGGTCTGTGGATTTAACAAACGCTATGGGTTGGGCATGGTCTGTGGATTTAACAAACGCTATGGTTTGGGTATGGTCTGTGGATTTAACACACGCTATGGGTTGGGCATGGTCTGTGGATTTAACAAACGCTATGGTTTGGGTATGGTCTGTGGATTTAACACATGCTATGGGTTGGGCATGGTCTGTGGATTGAA